TCTTGTAGCTCGATCGGTCACACCGCCATCGCCGCCGGGGAGCGGGGGATGACGATCGGCCGTCGATCCCGAAGGGTCGTCGGTTGAGCTAGGGAGCCTGGCGATGGACGCCACCGCGACCCCTCGTGGCATCTCTCTCGCCGTCGGCGAGCCGGGGGCTCGCAGACGGCCGACTTTCTATATAACCAGTAGGACAGCCGTGAGTGTGAATCGGATAAGGAGTTTGCGTCCGTCCACCGTCTTCGTGGACGTCTGTCCTCGTGACACCCACACCCCACACGGCCTGTTTTGCTTCGGCAGCGTGCACCTCGATCCTGCACCGTGTTTGTTATGACCCCCCCCAATGAACACTCCAGTGAGGGTGGGCGAGACGATCGAGGGGTCCCGTACCATGCGGAATCGACCCTATCCAGTGCTCAAGTGCTCAAGAGGCAAAAACGGCTTCTTACGCTCGGCCACAGTCGGGTGGGGGGTGCGGCCCGCGCCGCCTAATTCCGCGGACGGGCCCCTCCACCCTTCATGTACGGATCATGTAGTCCCCACAGACGCTGAGAGAGAGATTTTTAGCAATACCAAACAACTCAGACGCTGTCGTTCGTTCGTGGGATCGCTTGACATACACATGCGACCTGGTAGCATATGCATGTGAGACAAGCAGAGCACTTGGTTGGAGCACTTTGAGTGTAGTTATCAATCTCACACTAAGGGCGTAGTTAGTGGGCGTATAGTCGTATATATACGCCCTTACTAGGCCTCAACCCACTTTACTCATGTACATACTATTATACTACTCTGTAGCGCTCACACCCAGGGCCGGGGAGCTAAGGGCGGCGGCGGCGGCACCCTGCGGGCCGGACGATCGGCAACAGCGTGTGTGCGCTGGACGCAGCGAAAAATGGTCCACGCCGTGGCCCACTTGCCCGGCACCTGGCGGCTCCTCTACTACGACGCGCCGACGCGTGGAGAGCAGATCCGGCTATTATTCGCGCTCGGCGGCGTGCCGCTGCAGGACGTTCGGCTCTGGCCCTTTCCAAACGGCCTCGACCCGTACCGCAAGGCGGCTCTTGGCGCGGACTCACCGCTCCTGGGCACGGACAAGTGCCCCTGCGTGACCGCTCCCGACGGCAC